TTTTGTGGATTAGTTTTCTTTTTCTTTTTTGGCGGCATTACGAATGAATGAATATTTTTTATTATTTTTGAGAATAGCATTTGATTGGCTCAAGCCGTCTAAGCCGGCTAACATCACTAACTCTGTCAAATGGTTAAATACAGAACATGATCATAACAATGTATATTATAAATGAATTAGTTGCGAAGAATTGGTTTTAAACACATTGCGAAAAGATTTTTTCATGTGTCATGGTGAATCAAAAACAATGATTCAAATGTTGACCGGATTTTTTCGCATCTCTGATACTAATATTAATATACGTAGTGTAATCCTGGTCAAAATCAAAATTGAAAACAAACTTTCCAGCTAGAAAAGATTTTCTTTATTTTCTATAGATTCCTGTTATGTTTCTCTTAAACTACTAATTTAGTGAAAGAAACAAAACAACCAGATTTCATTTTTGCAAAATTCGAAAATGAATAAAATAATTCCCAAACCCTAAAGCAGTTTCGTCAATTTACTCAAAAAATAAGTGTCAAATTTTTGTTTGTTTGTTTGTCTATCCAATTACAATTGTCATTGTTCCATAATAATTTTTCCGGGTGAATTTCCAGGTGAATTTGTAACATGATTATAAATTTATGTCTTGACGTCAGGTTTGAAGCGGTTAAATAGCATCCAAGCTAATTTTCTAATGCATTTCGAGTAAATATCTACAAATTGCATCTAAATTGTATTGTTCTCTAAACCAACAAAACGTAATGCAGGTGTGTTTATAGAACATGATCAAACATCCTGTTTCATATATTACCGTTATTAAAAACAAGGAACTTTATCAAAATAATGTATTATTTAATTGAACTTCTGCCCAGTTTTAATATAAATTTTGATCTTCATAAAATTGTTAGTTTGCAAAAAGTTTTTATTAGAGACTAAAATTCAAGTAGCTTGACGATATTAAACAAGACGGATAAAAATATAACAGGATGTAAAATGTAAAAAAAAGAAAAAGAAAAAAAGAAAAAAAAAACGCTCAAGTTTTATCCACTCATAGTAAACAAATGGATTAACCATTGTACAAAACCAAATCGATGCCACCATAAGGCAAGTAAACTGTCTCCAGTAATTACTTGTGCTTTATAAGGATTTAACAATTTTTCAATAAGCAAAACACCATAATCAAGTGTCGAATACCCAGACTGCATTCCGGAGAAAACTATCAAGATTCCAGACCCAACACCACCAAATGCCCAGATGAAATATCCACGCATTACAACTATCCCAAGAATCACTGCTCCGTAAATAAATGTATATACGTAGATAAGAACCGTCCCAATTATAGGTCCAGGTTGTACACACTCATCGGTAATATAAACATTCTTCCAATCCATGGTAGAAAAAGCACAATCTGCTACTTTGGTGGCAGAAACACCTTTTGGAATGCTGGCATAACATATGTAATCATTTGTAGCTTCAACCGGAAGTGACCATATCCACACACGGAACACACCTACTGTCATTGATATGATATCAATGATCAATGCTATCAGTCTTGTTATTTCTTCAATTCGATGACGCAATTTGGATCTTTCGGATAAATTATTTGATTGTTTTACCATTCCTTGATTAAATGTTTCTTCCAAATTGCCCGTACTTGATTCTATAACAGTATACTCGGGACTTTTCCCATTCACCACCGCAAATAAAGTTTTCCACCTTTCTTTAAATCCTTTATTTCCATCTTCAAGGGTAAGTCTGATAATACTAGAACCAATTGCCATAGGTAAGCTGAAAGGCATACTACGCGCTACAGACATTGGAGCTTGCTTTGCAGCGCATACACGTATTATAGATATCATACTACCAACAAGAGCCCATATTGCTGAAATAAGACTGAACCTGTTCCATTTATATGTCGGATATAATGCAAGAGAATTGAGAAGTAGGACCAAGAAGCTTATTGACCATGGAGTCAGTTGACTTTCTTTTGAAGGTACAAACGCACCATCAAACGAACAATTCGAGGGGATATCCATTAATAAAGGTCAAACTTTTGATAAAGTGGCGTATTTTAAAAGCATTTAATATTAACTATTGTTAAATTTATTTTGTTTGTCAGTGCCGGTAATAGTAAAGAGAATTCGTTTTGTATTTCAATTATTTTTTATGCTCATTTTATTAACAAAAATGTGGTTTTCAAGTGTGAAACCTTTGAGATGTTTGGTTGTTTGTTTGGTGTTTGTATTTAACTAAAACGGTGGATTTTACAAATATTCGCTGCATGATTAACAAGTCAAATTGGTTTTTTTAATCCGTGTGTATTAAACAAGTTATATCAAAGAGTTTTCTGCAAAAAGAGGATGGCACTGTTCTGTTAACCAAGGCTCTGAAATTTCAGTCGTTAGCTTGAATTGTTACAAAAGAGATTTTATTTATATGTAAACAAGAAAATGATTACTAGTTTTGGAATCTGATTGTAGCAATGATAATAGATAAATTGTACGACGAACAAAATGCAAAAACTACTTTTGGAAATATTAAATCAGCCACTACAAAAGTTGTTCAAACCGGAAAAAATCGAGAAAAGTTTAATTAAACTCGATTATGGACATTTTCAAAAATCATTTAATAAATAACTTATCTAGTTGAACACACAAAGTATAAACAACAATGGAATAATAAAGTTTATCCACACGCGTTTAAAATTTTTCTATCGACTATTGGTTAATTAATTAATTTCATTGGTTGGTTGATTTGATGCTTCAATACTTGCAGAATTTCTTTGCGTAGGCTCTTAAATATCACAGCAAATAAAGTTGAAAATCTATTAATTAATTGATTGATTGATTATTACTTGTTGAAAATATTGCCAGAATAAAATCAAAAATCCAAATCATCAGAAGAAGACACAAATTCACGTGAATTATCTTTATTTGCAATAATAATACTAAGTGGAATCAATTCTATAAAATGCCGCAATTATATAATTAGTGAAGTAAGTAAAAAATTGACAGTATAGAATAAGCAACAACTATTGTTATTGAAAGCTCTACCATTGAATCCCAATCTAAAGTAGTTATTATTACCGTTAATAAATAATGTTAATAAAAGTTTGTTGCAATTTTTATATGGTATTTTTATAAACTTTATCGAATATAGAGTATATATAACCATGCATCAAGTGCTCTCAAATATAATTGTAAATAACTTTATTCATTATTCAGCAATTGGGTTTAACATTATCATGTAAAATTGCGTAAACGTTCTAACATTTTGAAATTCTGATCATAATTATAAACATGATAAACCAATTAATTCTTTCCCAATAACAACGTGTTCTCATGATTCAATTTTGTTATTGTATATTAAAAACTAACTTGCCACTCTTTCATTGAATTCTTCATCCATTTACCAATTTGCACTTGTTAGAATAATAATTAAACCCAATCCAGGATAGTAAGTCTGTGCCTAAAGACCTAGGTTGTTGAAATTTCAGTGCGGGCGCCACGTTGCCCGTTAGTTATTGTAGAATAGCGCCTAACACATTAAATAAAATTTGATTAACTTTAAAAAAAAATAGAGACGGTATTAGATAACTATTGACTAGTTCTACAATCCATCGTCGAGATAATTTTTTAAAAAAATTATTAATTTCAGAGTTATTAATTAACTTTTAAAAATCGTGTGTTTTTTATATGTTATAAAAATTTCCAAATTTGAAACACTTTAAAGTTTATTTAAAATTTTTTAAAACTATCTCGACGATGAATTGTCAATAGCTATCAAATATCGTCTATTTTTTTCAGGCAAGCATTAAATATTTCCTATCTAGCTTTAAGGTTATTTGATGTGTTAGTGACCCGCACCATAATAGATAAATTTGTAGAATATTAATAGCTTCTAAATTTGTATTAGTTGCACAATAAATTTCGACACTGATATTAACAACCAAATTTATTCATTAATATTAAAATGAAATCCCATCAACAAGTACAATAAATAATTTTACACTTGGAAAGTTAATAACTTTTTTATTGGCGTATTTATCATTTAATTATTTTCCCTTTTTAGATATATGAATTAATTGCCTTAATGCTTTTTTATTACAATGTCAAAATGAAATGAAAAAAAAGGGAATTTGGCGATGATTAAGAGAATTTTAAACAAGACAGATCCCAGGTTTTGTTGCAAGTTTTGTGTTACACTTATTAGTCTGCCAGTAAACGCAAAATCTGGATTGTGAACTATTAAACTAATTGAACTTGGATGAGAGTGTTTCACGTCTGCCAATTCCATAAGTGTTTTTGGTGTTACAAATGAATAAATGCATGTATGTTTATTTTGCAATTTAAAAAAAATCTTGAAAATGGTTTGTAATTTGAATTAGTTGTACATTATAGATAGGGATAAGAACAGTTCATCCCAATCCGGTTAATAGCTTTAGACTTTAAAAAAATGCTTTTGATTTAATTAAAAAGATTGGTAAATTTCAAATAAAAAATATATTTAATTTGAATAATTGTGTGCATATGTGTAGGTTTTACTCCAAACTCCAGCTCATATCTAACTTTTGATCTAGTGATGGATGATCTAAATTATTTTACAGTAAAGATAATGACGTATACCAGTTTTTCTTTTCCTTTTTTTTTATTTTAAAACAATTATTACACTACATAAATATTGAATGTCACATTCGTAACATTTGATCCGAAACAGTGTCCATTATTATTATACCAGCTTTTTCTTTTCATTAAAAAACAATTGAAAAATTAATTGTTACGCTGCATAAATTATTGATCTGTAACACCAGTTTTTCTTTTCACAATTGAAAATTAATTGTTACGCTGCATAAATTATTAAATGCCACATTTGATCTACAACAATGTCCACTATGCTATTCGCTACTATAATAAATACCGACCGTTTACCAAATAATAATATATTTTTTTTTTTTTACAACAAAATGTCAACTTGCTTTTCATCATTAGAAAATTTAAACTTATTATTTGATAACCTTATCAATTCCAACAAAAATTCCCTTCCGTTAAAATACATTGGGAAGCTTGTAAATGATTTAACAAAGTTATTGAATGAGCTTAATTTTTATGATGTAGAAATCAGTGTTGGAGTAGATGAGAATGTCAAGACTTTTAAAGCTCATTCTAGCATTTTAAAAGCAAGGTCTTTATATTTTAAAGCTGCTTTATCAAACAATTGGGTAAAAAAACTTGATGATGGTATTATTTTATTTGAAATAAAAACCATCTCTCCAAATGTATTTGAGGTTTTTTTAACGTAAGTTTATTTATTTTTTATTTAACCAATTAATTGAATGATTATTATAATAATTTAAATTACTTTATTTTATTTATAGATATATTTACAATGGAACTCTTAATATAGATAATTTGGGTGGGAATGAAATTTTAGAACTTCTTAAGGCATGTGATGAATTAAACTTTAATGAATTAATTAACGACTTACAAAACTATTTGATTGATGAAAAAAAAGAATGGATTCAACAGAATTTAATTTATGCTCATAAAATTTCATCATCTCACCAATCATTCAACTTACTTTATGATTATTGTTGTGAGATAATTAATAAATATCCGATATTGTTTTTTAAATCTAATGACATTATGACAATTGAAAAATCAATGCTTACAACTATTTTACAAAAAGATAATTTGGGATTAAATGAAATTGATATTTGGGATATAGTCATTAAATGGGTAAAAAATCAAAATCAAAAATTGGACAAAGATATTTCAGAGTGGAAAAAAGAGGACTTCATTGTGCTGAAAAATAAAATGGAAGATATCATTCCATTGATAAGATTCAATCAAATCTCTCGAAATGATTTTTTTCATAAAATTTTACCATTTAAAAAAGCCTTTGATGAAAAAGTATACAAGGAAATTTTTCTATACTATATTAGTGATAAATGGGAACCAAAATTATTACTTAAAAAGGGCCCAAGATCAAAACCAAAAATAAGAACAGGCATAAAAACAAAAACTGGAAAATTACTAAACTCACAAATGAAATTCCTAATTTCAAGTTGGATTGATCACAAAAATGGTCTATATAATGAAAACAATACACCTTATAGTTTTGAATTAATTCTTCAGGGTACTCAAAATGGATTCTCTAGATCTGTATTTGAGAATAAATGTTATAATATTGAACAAACTGTATTTATTATGAAAATTAAAAATACTGGAGAATTGGTTGGAGGCTATAATCCAGTTGGGTGGAATATAAAAGAAAAGTCTACAAACGATCGATATAATATTGAAACAGATAAAAGTTTCATTTTCAAAATTGATGAAAAGCAGATAAATAATTCAAAATTAAGTAAAGTTAAAAGTCTAGAGTGTGCAATATTTCATAATGAACAAAAGATTATTGAAACCATTGATAAAGTAAAATTTCATGAAATTGTTATAAATTTTTGTGATTTACGGCTATATAATAGTATTAACAATGAACCTTATTGTTATTATAATCACAAGTTTCCTCCTTCTTATAAAAGTGATTTAAACCTTAAAAAAAAATATAAACTAATTCATTTGATAGGAGAATATGAAGTTTATCAAATAGCAGAGGAAAATTAATTAGTTTAATTTATATACTATTATTATATTTATATATTTATAGCAAAATATTATTATTATGACAAAATTTTATTGATGATATAATAAATAAATAAATAATTTTTTTTTTACAAATGTTAACTTGTTTTTCATTTCTAACAATACTTATTTTTTACAGAAATTTGAATTTAAACTGTTTTGATCATCAAAAGTCTTCCAAAAAAAGCAATTTTGCATGATTTTTTATCAGGGTAGATCAAAACCAAGGCTGGCTGCATAACTCAAATAAGCACATGGCTAAACTGACTAAACTATTTAGTCATATGTTAATGGGGTGTAAGATGCCCTAATTAAATCAAAATTAGGTGATGTAACTATACATGCAGCCCAAAGTATTTTGACACTGTCATAAAGGGGGTTACACTTATGTTTTTAAT